CCCTACACGCTTAATGAGCGAGCGCTGCTGACAGCCATCACATCAACATACAATTCAGTGGGAAATCTGTGTCGTGTAGTGCTAAAATTGGTAAGGTGGTGTTAGTATTGCTGTAACAAACACACTGTTTCAGTTTCCCGTGGCAGTTGTTTATAAAATAATTGGCTACATCTTCAGATTAAGCATCTGGATTTTACGCATGGAACTTCTTCAGCGCCTGGCCTAAAGCTCAGGTGACGCTGTGTTTCACGGGGCACCGATGACCAAGTGGTGTGTTCACAGCAGGTCGTTACCCTGCTGTACAGGCACCAGCAGAAGCATTTCTTGTCCCGGCAGGTAGATTATCGCTGGCCTTTAATAGAGACACGTTACAGCACTTCCCTTTTCCGCTGTCTTCCCTGCTTCGGCTCAGTGGATGGATTTGCTGTGTTACTCGGTTAACGGACTCATGTTTGGCATTTGATTTCTGTGTCTGCAGCAAGCTATTGAAGACAAGAAAGGTATTTCTGGATATAGTTACACCCAGGAGGAGCTGGAGAGAGTCTCCGCAGTGAAGAGTGAAATGGATGAGATGAAAGGCCGAACGCTGGATAACATGTCTGAAATGGTGATTGTTTTAAACCACTGTGTTTCCTCCATTTGCCTGTCTGGGTCCTCAACGTACAAATCCAAGTTTAATGGTTTTGTTTGGGTTTTTAATTTGCTTTGAATTGGTGTTTATATATATTTTAAAATATTTTCAGACAGTATAGGTCTGCAAAGGTGATTGTGAAAAAGTTCACAGAAGCGTGCGTTTCTTTTAATGTAGGACGAAGAAATTTAGAGTTATATATGTGCATCAAATCCCACTTCCCCCCCGTTCAGAAACATTAGGGGTATCAAGTCTTGTCCTCTTTGCTTTTTGACTTTCTTGTGGTTTCAGAAGTGGTTTCATAACTGTTCTTGCACATCATCTGAAAGAGATGCATGGTTTGAATCTTTAACGGAGTCCTTTTCTGAAATGTTGGTAAATCACTGGAGTTAAGCATTTGTCAAAAAAACACTTAGTATGACTAAAGACCTATATATCTTGTCTTTTGCTCTATAGTCTAATTTTATTGTCCTCAGATCTGCTGTGTTTTAACTTCCACGTAGCCATAGGAGCAAGAGAGAACTTGAATTTCCAATTTGAGCCTATTGCAAAAGAGCAAACAGCAAACCAGCATTCTTTGAAATCATGAGGGCACTTTTAAAATCAAGTGATATAATTGAAACAGAGTGACTTTCAAAACACCAGCTGGATCGAATTTGAATTTTCAGTGTGACTCTTTCAAAGTGGATCTGCTTCAGCATTTTCAAACCTCCTTTAACCTGTGCAGGTTGGCTGGGTTGTTTGCTTAAGGGTTTCTTCCTTCCTGCCAGCCCCCCTCTATGCAACTCCTCCATTTGCCCCTACTCCTCGAGCTTGGTGCCTGCCTTCTGCACTTCTCCATGCCCTTCCCAGTGGAAACCATGGGAGCAGAGCTTGTCCACTCGTGGCCGTGACCCCGTGGCAACCTGGGCTCTTCCTCTTTGGTAACTGACCCTCAGCTGATGTGATGTTATAGAGGTAGCTCAGGCCTCACTGCACGTTTTTTCTCTCCATACTTTGGTTTTCCTCTCTCTCTTTTCACATTCCTAATTCTGTAAACGTACTGCTGGCACCACGGTGTTGAGGTGTGTTATTGTGTCCCTCCTCCAGGTAAAAAAACTGAACGCGATGGTGGCGGAGAAGAAGGCAAGCCTGGCTCCCGTTATCAAAGAACTGAGACAGTTGCGGCAGAAGTGCCAGGTTAGCAGGAACGCTTCTCTCGTTCTCTGTAAATAACGGCAGAATCACAGGTCAGTCTAGTTACAGATCTCTGTAGTGCCCTACAAAGTCATAATCACCTCTGACGGAAAGCTGGAAATGTCACTGCTGACCCATTCTGCGTTGCAGCAGGCAACACAGAAAAGACTGGAATTGGTAAAAGCTGACGGTGCAGGCACAAAACCAGGCTGAAGACTTTGTCCTTTATGACAGGTTTCAAAAATCACTGCACCAGGGGAAAATTTAAAAAATCTTGGTTCAAAACCATGGGGAAGTCAGTTTTCAGGTCAGTTTCAGAGCTTTTTCTGCATCTCAGCACTAATGATCTCAATTAATGCTGCCCTTTTTAAATGATTGCAAGTAATATCTCATCCAAATAGTTGAACACATTGATCTACATCCTGTGTTATTCTGTAGGAGTGACAGACTTATCCATTTGTTTTCAAAATTTGATAGAGAGCTGAAGAAAAATGCCCTTCAGGCCCACAGCTGCCCTAAGCTGGCTCGTGGCCATGGACGTAGAGCTGTCCATTTATCTATCGACCGGATTTCCAGAAAACTTACTTCTAATGGCTCTATGAAAAGTGTCAGCAAAGGAAATCCAGTGAAGGCATTTGGGTACAATGGGAAAGCTGGCTTTTCCTAGGCAGCAAGCACGTTAATCCTTTCCCAGTGTCTGTGTGTTCTTGCGAACGCGGCCCTGTTGCCCTACCCCGCGAAAGCTGTGGCTGTGAAGGGAAAGTCTGCAGGCTGTGTTGTGGTGCATACAGCTGATCCTCCAGAATGCGAGTGGAGGCTGCTGGCTTCCCCCTGTGTAACAATACCCGTGGGCCTGCTAGTTTTATGTAAGTGTCTGTGCCTCTGCCAGTAGCCGAGGTTGGCGTGTGAGACCGACTGAGCGTCACGTCAGTCAACTGAAGATCTCATTTATGTACCCTCTCGCCCTTGTCACATCAGGAATTAACTCAAGAATGCGATGAAAAAAAGATCCAGTACGACAGTTGTGCAGCGGGGTTAGAGAGCAACCGCTCTGCTCTGGAACAGGTAAGATGCTCGTCCATGCAGATCAGTAAATGCTGTGCAGCACGTTACTCGCTGTGGTACAGTGTTTTCCCTGCCTTCCCTCTGGATATGGAAAGTACAAATCCACTTCCAGGTGGAAATGAGTCAGTGGTGATCCGCAGTGATGCGAATTGTGCCTGGAGCTGCTGAGGACGAGCTGCAGCCGCACACGGCTCCTGTTCTGAGTAGCAGCAGTGAGCCTAGTGGTACGTCAGTTCAGCCACCGACGTCTGGCTGTGGTTAGCAAGGGGACTGCAAAAGAAGATGCATCTGCCAGAGATCCTGCCGACCTAGGCTCTGTCTGTTGGGAAAGAACTAGACCGTAAAATAAGGAGTAATTTTATCCAGACAAATCTTTGTATGCGTTTAGCAGATTCGTTAAATTAGCAACCAGTCAATGGATAATTAATGCACTGAGATTGATGGCGAGGATGCTTCATGAAATGGGACTGTCTTGTACTCTTGCATGCAACAGGTTTTCACGACTGCAGCCAGGTAGGGACAGCTACGCGCTTGGGTGGGCGCAGCTTACGCAGGCCTTGAGCGATAGCGCTTTAGGAAGGGCGCTACTCAAACCAGCGCGATCCCTGCGGGTGGGGACAGCGTTAATACGTTTATGCAAATCCGCTTTGTCCCAGTAGGCCAGCTCCTGTGCATTTGGTCTGGAGAGGATTTTTCAAGGCTGTGCCCATGTAGGGAGTACGTTTCAAAACAAAAAAAGGCTTACATCTGAAGTGGGGGTGGATATACAGATCAATCTTTTCCTGCACTAAAAGTACATTTCTGTGGCTTAATCCAAGCAAAAGAATCCACAGGTGAACCTGCTGTGAAGTCCAGCTTCTGTAAGAACTGTTTCAGAACAGCAATCAAGGCTTCTTTCTTGGCAGACAGATCCTAGCCATCCAAGACACGATGGCCATCACACCCAGCGATGGACACGACTGTCCGCAAACTCTCGCCGTTGAACAGTAGAATTCAGTTTTCCAGCTGATGGTCTGATTCCATTTGGAGTATGAGGGGTTTCTGGTGTTGACCATTTAGAGATGGGACTAACCCACTACCTCTGTATGCCTCAACTTAACTGTTGATTGCTGATTAACATACTAGTAACACGCCTGTAGCTTCTAACGTTCGATTGCAGGTGTGTTCCAGGAAGTGCTTCTTCACAACCGTATTTAGCACTTCAGATGTGCTGTGGAACAAGAGTCTGGGCAGCACTTGTGACGTGTCTGGTAGAAGTCGGTCGTCAATAAACACCTATTAACAATCATTTAGCATCTCTAACTGACTGAAACTGCACATCTAAAAAATCACTTGTCTTCCACTTTATAATTTGGCCTTTAGAGAGCCTCTTATAAACATCTGGGCGGTTACCCGTTCAGCATCCATTATGCCCGTTTCTGTTACGGATGCTCATGGTTTAGTAGCAACATGGAGCGTCTCCTGCAGCCTTCCAGTTACATGTCCTTTGAAATCTTCTTCTTCCACTACAGGAAGTGAAAGGACTTCTTGAGGAGTGTGCTCAGGAGGAAAGCAACTACCGCTACGTTAACTGCATGAAACGGGTAAGATCACGAGAGGGACCAAATTGTTCACTGTGAAAGGAAGGAGGAATTACAATACATATGTATTTTTTAAAATTACGTATTTCTTGACAGAACCTAGAAATACAGCTGCAGCGTGCTAAGGAAGAAATGAAGGCGTACGTCTCCCCAGACCCTCAGGAGAGACGAAAGGCAATTCGGTGAGTATATCAACGTGTTTCCTCGGTGTTACCTTGAGAATATTCATAAATCGAGGCTGAAGTTAGGAATTTTCTCACTGGTATTTGAACTGGAGGAGTTCACCTGATAAATTTAGAAACACTCTAATAATCTAAAAATAAGCGTCTCAAATTCCAGCATATACTGCTGTAAACCTACGAGTTCTCTCAGGCATACCAGAAGATTTTCCCTTCCTGCTGGAGATTACAGCCCCCAGATAGCGGGTTTAACTTGCAGCCCCTGTTGGCACGAGCTCAGAGAGGCTGCGCTTCCGCGAGGTGCTGCAGGACGCGGCTCCGCCAGGCACCGCGCCTCCGCCGAGCTGCCCCCAGGCTCCGGCGTGCGGGGCTAGGAGGTCCAACACCTCTCGGGGAGCACCAGGTGCTGCCCGCGATTCCGGCCATTTCTCGCGCGTCTGCTCTCCTGCAGGTAGGACAGCTGTCCCTGCCGCCGGTGCAGGGTGGCACACGCAGCCGAAATGCCCTTGGTTTTGCCCCTGCTGGCAGCTCTTGCTGGAGGTGGAACGAGGACTGTTCTGCACCATCACACTAACCTTCCTCTTCACGCTTGGTGTCACCGCAGTGTCAGGACAGTTGCTCTGTCCAGTGGGTGTTTGCAGGACACCTTTCCCGGGGAGGGAGAGCAGCAGAAAAGGTCATGAACTGAGCTGCTGCTGATACTAGTTTTGGGTAGTTTTCCATTTTAAATGATGCTGTCCTGCCAGGGATGGAAATGCTTTCTGAGAAGGAGATATTTCAGCTTAATCATCTGTGCTGAGAAGCCTAGATGTTACCATCTCGTACAGGTTATTTTTTTCCACTTTAAGTATCCAGTTTAAAATTTTGTACCTGTTCAGTCTTGTAACACACTATAAAAGCTGAAACAAAACACAGGCAACAACGTCACCAAGGTGGTTCAGCCCCACCAAAATTAACCATCAGGAAAATCCAAACCAAAACATTTTTAACTTTCATTTGGTCAAAGTGTCAACATTTTGTTCTGGTTTTTATTCTACATAATCACTTTTTTCCAAAATTCCAGAATTTTGCATGAAATAGAAATTCCGTTTTCCAGCTGGTTTTAGCTTTGTCTCCCCAAAATTTCTTGGATCCTGTCAAGAAAATAAGCTGGAATTGTTGTCGCCGCTTTTACAAAGTGGTCCTTGCCTTTCCCACCATATTATTTCTCAGTCATGGAAATATTTATCAACACCGTAGCTTTAACAGCAGCAGCTCTGCCTCATCCCTCTCCCAGTCTGCATCCATCAGCATTCCTGCAGTTGCTGTTACTGCTTAGGCTTTAACAAGCCACAGCACTAGAATTCCTTGGTGTGAGGCCTCTCATTAGACTTCTGCGTCCGCATTTCAGCAACGGGGCAGCTCATTGCTTGCGACCCGTGCAGTCGGTCATGTCCGAGCTGCAGTTCCGGCACAGCCTGCTGTGCAACGTGCCAAAATGCTTCGCGGAATTGTCCCATTCACAAAACCAGTTAAAACCATGACTGAGTGGCAGAGCTGCTTAACCCGGTAATTAATAATCATTCTACATTCCGTTTGAGGGTTTCAGACCATCCAGCATGCTGCCACTGCAGCGGGAAAAGGGAACCAGTCATTGTCTCTCACTTCTCAAAGGAGGTGGAAAAACAAGCTAATTTCCCGAGATATCTGTCCTCTTAGGACTTTTTAACTGTCAGAATGATTGCTGCAGCAGTAGTAGCAGGGAGGGAAGCACCCTTAGGCTGTACGTGTAATCATCATTCCGGATCACCGGAGGCCGTTCACTCCGTGTGCAGCCGAGTGCAAAAGGGCAGCCGTTGACCACTCAGATTTTATGGGCTCTGGAACAGGGCCATCAGCAGGGAGAGTGACATGTCAGACCGAGTGAGAAAACTCCAGGGATTCCCTCAGGAGACACTGAGAGATGAGGTCGTCTTCCTCCATCGCATCCTCCACCACCTACAAGTTGTCCCGACACGCTGGTGTTGGGGGAGGCAGAGATCACTCGGACACGCAGGGCTGCGTCAGTGTCCATCCCGAGGGCCTTCTGCCAGGATCTGAGGCGTGGAAGTGTTCAAACAGTGCATAGCAAACACTGTAGGAACCACAGAGCAAGGAAGGAATCAAAACTACCAGTGGTAGGGTCGAAGAAGAAAAGGACGAGGAGATGGAGTGTGGTGTGAGTGGAGGCTGAGAAGCCTCTTATTCCACCTCAGACGATAAGGGAAGGCTGTGGGAAATGGATTTATCTAACGAAAGACGACGGGACAGCAAAATAAAGCAGAAGGCTGAAGAGAGATGTGGCTGTGAGATAAATCTTAGCGGTGGTGTGAATTCACCAGCTGAAAGGCAAGGCAGCTCAGCCGAGCGGCTGAGGAAACGTGGCTCAGACGGCGGGCGCCGGCCGTTACGGCCTCGCAGGGAAGGGTAGGGTTGGAGTTCACCCACTGAGGCCGAGCAAAACCAGCTCCAACCCCAGTCCCTGTGAACTGAGCGTCCGCGGTGTGCGGCTTGGCGCTGACGAGCCGTCAAAGCCAAGCGCTGGCACGCAGCGCGAGTCCAGCCATGCCATTCCAGGTATGGCGAGGGGAATGCGAACGGAGCGTTACCACCCTCCGCTGTCCCCGATTCACTTGCGACTGGTGGGCACACAAGCTGGGGAAACGATCCCTCTCACGGTGACTGTACACATTTTTGACCTTCTGTAGGAGGTCACAGACCCCTCGCATTTAGGTGAATTACAGAGAAGTAGAATATTGGGATCTTTGCAAAATGTGAAAATGAGATGAAGCATGTTTTTCTAGACATCCCTGTAGAACGTGGATGTAGTTTTCAGCCGGCACTGGAATGTAAATGGAGTAAAAATGAACCATAAATAGAACAGCACTTTCCTAACAACGTATTGAACAAAAAATGTCTTAATTCCAACCCTCTTTCTGGAATATAAACTCTCTGTTCCGTGCAGTCATTTCTTAGGAATGTGAAAAGTTAATTTTCTTCTCTAAAAATAGAAAGTGGGGGGTTATTTAATGGAGTTATGAAGTTGCATTCTTTCCAGTCATCATTCTAAATAGTAAAGAAAAACTTGCTAGGAAAGACATCTGATCTGAGGATTACTTTGAAAGAAAAAAAAAAAGGACATTCCTGAGGCCAGATGTGTGTGAACATCTGCTGCGGGCTAGGGGGAATGGGCTGGTGTGGTGAGGATTGCTGGGGTCCGCGGTGCTTGGTGCAGCCTCGAGACGGCCCCGCCTTGTCCCAGTGAGAACCGTCGTGGAGCGAGGGCCAATAAACCGATCCGGCTTCATTCCTTGAGCGTCCCTTCGGCAGGCAGCGTGGCAGGCAGGAGCAGGTGGCCGGGGGCCCGAGGGCTCCCGTCGAAAGCCCGGAGCACCGGGTATAAGGAATACAGGAAACGCGATGCCTTGGTTCTACGCGGCTGCTCACCACGCTCTACCACACCATCGGGCTCTGGTGTCGCGACGGCTGATAGTTCTTTCTGGAAATCAGGATTTCCCTGTGCAATGTCTTCCTACCCTGAACATCAGAAAAATGGGGAATTTGGAAAAGCTCTTTAGATGAGTGGGTTGTTCTGTGTTCCGGTAGCAAACACTCAACCTCTAAGTGTACCTGTAAATAATAGGTATTTCTTTTTTCAAGTGAATCAGTGAAAAGCCTTTACTGTCACGCTGCAAACAGACGACAGCGAGTGCCCAGGAGCGAGTCTGAACCCTGCGGTTCTGCTGCGCGTCGTCTGTCATCGGGTTTCACGTAGCAAGTTTGAACGCGATCCTACCACTTGTTACAGACAAAGGTGCACAGCCAAGATTTTTAATAATGAATGTCAAGAGTTACGCTTCTAAGCCTATATTTAGGCACCTAAATGTGACGGCTGTTTTCTGAAAGTGAGGAACACTCAGCGGTTCCATCGCAGTCCTTGCATGTGTCGAACCCGGGGTGAAAGGCTGTTCCCCTTCGCTCCTGTGTTTTCCCACCCATCCTGACGCTACAGCCACAGCCGTTAAGGGCCGTGGATTTGCGAACAGACGCTCGTACCGCAGCGGCCACTGGCTAAGCCCGGCATGTCTCCGTGACAAATGCACTATTAAAAAGGGATCAGGTATGGCTTCTCTGAAATGATCTGGCCGTTGTCTTCAAGCTGGAAGGAGCAGCAATCAGGCCTCCTCCAAAAATGTGACAGAACTTGCCCAGCATCACTTCCCAGCTGAGAAAATCAGAGAGATCTGATGCCAGGGGCTGTGTTGTCCGATGACAGAAAGGCCCCTTCGTGCTTCTTCTGCCTCATTTATGACCCTCCCAATACCTTCAGAATTCTCTGCATTGGCATCGCCATCCTGTCCTGTCCATCGAACCCAATGAAATCCTAACAGTGTTATCTTGTGTTTCCTTTAGAGAACAGTATACACGAATGATCCTTGAACAAGAGAACCTTGGGAAGGTAGGAACGAGGTCTTTACCTTCTAAAAACATTGCAAGGTTTGTGTTTTCGTGGGGCTTATGACCAAGGGCTGTGGTCAGTCTTTTATAAAAAGCATGTTGCAGCCTACAAAGAAAATTCCATTACTGCTGGCATGGGTAACTGATACCCCGAAGAGAGGTCGTGCTCGCTCTTCGGGGCTTGGTTTCCTGCGGCGTACAGCATGAGCCGCTGTAAACGATAGTCAGACAGCTTAACGCGAGGGCACGTTCCCCGAAAACCATTTGGATAAGAAACTGAAGCAGGGGCATCGCACCCGCTGCCAGTTCACATTTGATGTTGTATATAAAGCAACCCGTTGAAGACAATAAATTTTGAGCCTGTCAGCCTTATCGCCATTATCAAAGGCCAGGGGATCGTCAGCGCTGCGGCGTTAAACAAAAGCCGTTGTCCGGTTTTCCTCTTGTCCGAAGCTGAGGTCAGCAGGACGCGGTTAGGCTTACCCACTCACACTGAACTGCTCTCTTTTGTTAGTTTGCCTCTTAAGAGGCAGCCTGGGAGCACTTTTTACAGCTTTGGGCTGCCACTCCTCATAATCAGTTTAATTGAAAAACATGAATTTCAGGTTTATAATATGATATGAATGCTTTGCCGGTTGGGTTTATAATATGATGATATGAATGCTTTGCAGGTTGCAGCTTGGTACGGCACGAGCTCAGTGTGGAAGCACTTGGATTTAGCGTAACCTCTCAATCAGAGAAGACTCGTTCAGCCAGTTTAAAGTCACTGGACTAATTGTCGGTCCGTGCAGAGATCCGAGCCCCAGGGGTTCATGCGTTTGTTGCTTGCAGGGAGTGTCACCAACCTGAACAAAACCCCGTTTCGGTGGCATGTGAAGAGCTTTGTCGTTCCAAGCTGCCTTTGTAAGCATTTCTTGTCATGTAGAACTGTTCCAGGAATCTAATCTTTTTCTGTTTTTAACAGAAATTACGTGAGAAGCAGAAAGTTGTACGGGAAAGTCACGGGCCAAATATGAAGCAAATGAAAATGTGGCAGGATTTTGAGCAGTTAATGGAATGTAAGAGAGAATGTTTTCTGAAACAACAGAATCAAACAGCCATTGGTCAAGTCATCCAGGAAGGAGGTAAAGACAGGCTTGTGTTATGAATTCTTCCTTCTGGATGCCAAGATAAAGCAGGAAGACAGTGTGGTGGCTTCTGGAAGGTAACCCCTTACTCAATACTGTCATGATCTTTGTTGTACGTTATCTGGTTGTGGTGGCTAAAGAAAGAGAGAAACTGCCGCTCTGCGGAGCGTTTCCTCCACTCTTTCAGTGACAGCCTAGTGTGGTTGGAAAGATCTGTCACGGGACCTGCGCTCGGACAAACCGCATCGTCAGTCTTTGTTTTACACGGCTGGGAATGGCACGCATCTGCAGGGAGATCAAAGGAGGAGAGATCCTTCTCCAGGGTCACGGAAAACCTACGTAATTGCTCTGCTCCTTATTCTGTATCACTAAGGTTATGCTTCTGCAAGGCCTGGGACGTGATATTGTGTAATTGTGGCCCTCCTGGCTTGGTCCTCTCCTTCCCTATTGTCTTTACTCACCTAGCGTGACTGGCAGGAACGGAGCCGCCTTCAGACCTTGCCTGCACGCTCCTAGTCTCGCTCTCCTGGCACAGCTGAATTAAACCGAGTGTGCTTCCAGGAGACAGTTCACAGCTGCAGCGTCAGGAGTAGGTTCTGAGAACAGTCACTTGGATTCTGAGCTTTTCCCATTATCTTTTGTGGTTGTTTTTAATGTCTTTTTCTTGCACGTGAACCTTCTTCTCATTTTTAACGAGTCGCCCGTGCGGAAGTGTGAACGGTGGTCGACTAAAGGCTTTCTCCACTGAGGACATCTTGTGCTGGTTTGGCTGTGCAGTGCGCCTTCAAGCACTTTTGCTGCCCAGAGAGGGTTGTCCCGGGGATGGAGGGTTATCAGTGGACATAGGTACAGCGTGGGGGTTCGGGCACACGCCGGGGTACGCGCAGCAGGTAGGCAGGCAAAGCTGCCTTGTCCTCCGGCCCGCGAGCCACGGGCAACTGTCTCTGCCCTCACAGCTGCCCTGGGAGGCCAGAACTCTCGCTAGTTGTCTTCGGCCCCGTGGCGTATTGAATTTCTGCATAGGGTTGGGGTGGTTTTAGTTTTTCCTGCCTGAACTAGAATGTCTTCTCAGGACATCAAAAATAATTTTGCTTTCTTTGGTACCCAACTATGAGATCTGCTGTTTGCTGTATCGAGAGAGTATGATACTTGTAGAGTCCCTAGTTCTTTGCCTTAAATACCTTTGCTCACAGAGCTAAAATAAAACCCGACAACGATGTTTTGACTGCATGCCCTCCTCTTTTTTTACATTTCTTAGGTGAAAGAAGGTAAATTGTTAGTGACAAGTAGCTTGCTGGGCCACAGGAAAAGGGTTTGCATGGGTCATTTAATGAAATAAACGTCAGGTGCCCCCAAAACGCTCAAAACTTAGCGTACGTGTAAGGAGTGGGTCTGAGATCCGTAGGACACCCTCACCAAGCCCTCCCACGCTGCGGAATAGCTGAAGCTTGTCTTTCTCAACAGCTGCACACTAATCTGTCGCAGGACGAGGAGGAGCAGCACGTTCTGCTCTACGCACGTGTTCGGCGAGTGTGGAAGGAAGGCCGTGGCGTAGGATCAGGCACAGGTAGCAGCCGGGGCGGGGAGAACGTGCTGCACGGCCACCAGGCGCTGCCTGTGGGAGCTCCTTGCTCTCCACGCAGCAGGAGAGCGGGCCCCAGGAAGGCACAGAAGGGAGGGATCCTTCAGCGGGAGAGCTTGGGAACAGGACACACAGACCGTTTAGGGTGGGCAGAGCCATTTCCAGAGACACTATCAGCACTGTGCTTGCGTACCTCACCCGCCTGGCACCGCAGGGCCCGCTGAGCCCGGGGCCACGGGAGTCGCTTACCTTCCAGAGGGGGTGGTGCCGAATGCTGGCCAGCAACGGTGACGTAACGCACGCGGCACGATCGGGACCTGCCGGAAACATGGGATACTCACCAAAAATGGACACCTGGGTTACTTAGGAATCAGCTCGCGGTTCAGGGTCACCAGACAGGGCGGGGAGAACCGGGGTTGGAAGTCCAAAACTTGAACAAGACCCTAGAAACCCTATTTGACTAGACCATTTATGCAAAGAGGGATTACACGGGTTACCTTGCTGCCCGGGAAACAGCACTGCTTTGGGAAGTCATAGCCGTGATGGAGAGTGAGATGGAGTATAATAATTTTCTGTTTTTCTGTTCAGAGTTACCCTAAAAATAGTTCATCTGTCGTCTTTGTACAACAGTTTATTGCTAGTTACTCAAAGATGACGTGATTGTTGTTCTGATGTGATTAGTGTTCTGTCATTTGTGCTGCACCGAGAAAGGGCACGCAGATTACACACTGCGGCAGCAGCAAAATGACTTTGAGATGGAGCAGAAAATCATAATAACTGTTATGAAAAGAAAATTGGAAAAACTCAAAGGCTATTTTTAGCTTTTTATACAAGTGGACATTTAACAAACGCAGCTCTAATGGATTCTGTTTGCTGGCTTTTCCACCACGTTCACAATTTGATGGGAATGTTGAAAATCTTTGAATTTCAATTTTATCTTTACTTCCTAACTTGCAACAAAAAGGCCCCTTCCAATTTACCTTGTCGTTAGTAACAGCCTAGCTGCTTAACTGATAAGATGAAACACGCCATGTGGGAAAAGACCTGCCTCTCGCTTGTGAAGATCCAAAGAAATCCAAAATGTGCGTAGCTAGAGCTGGGGCTCCAGCACTCACCCGCTTCTTCCGGCCAGCACGCTGCTCCGCGCAGTCACGCATGAGCAGCAGCCAGCTTTGCAGAAGGCTTCTCCTTATCCTTACCCAGCGCCGGATGAGGAAGGGTTCCAGCTGTACACCGACTGAAGTATCCCGCAGGTTGGCATTATTTGGTGATGTTGACTTCGGTTGTCCCCAGGGCTACAGGACCCGAGAGGTGAGGTGGTCACCGGTGTGAGGAACTGGCATGGCAAAGAGCACACCTACGGCGTTACAGGACCAGTCGTTCTACCCCCTGGGGATCCGATTATTTTGTGTCAGTGGTACCATTTCACTTCCATTTGAACCATAACTGATAAATGTTCTTAGACTTCCCTAAGTAACCCAAGTCTAGCATTACTTGTCTGTCGTTACTGGCATGGGTATGGCTGCTCATGAAGTCATGTGCACAGAGTTGCCCTCGAGCACGGACGTTAGGCCCGGCTGTCGTGTTGATACGTTTAAATATCCTGATTTCCAGAGCTTTCTTAGGGAGATTTTCCTACGGCGTGATGCTGCTGGCTGCTATAAACCGCAGCGCAGCGGAAGTGTTTAGCAAGAGTTCCGTGCCTAGAGAGTGTCCTCATGATGCTCTGATGAATAAGCACGGGTAGCATAGGACGCAATAAGCAATCTAAGATGCTCTCCGAGTGACTGGCTGGTTCGGGGACAGGAGATGAGGTATGGAGCTGCGTCTCCTTCGCTCGTCATTTCACGTCTGGCCCAGAGCAGTGGCGGAAAGCTCGCTGCCAGCTAACTACCTGTCGGCAGCAAGGGATCTGTGCAGAGCCACTCGGCGCTGGCAGTCCAATCCCTGCCTCACCAGCCTGGCAGCGCTGGGCGAGCCTGGAGCCAGCTTCCACGTGAGGGCAGACGGATGTATCGCTGAAGGTGCAAGGAGACGAAGTGCTGTCACCCAGAAGGTGTCACTGTGGGAGAAAGGTCACGACACCCTGACACAGTGGAGTGGGAAAGCGGTTATTCCATCACCTTGCACCTGGATAAGGAGAGCGCGGATGCTCACGGATTTGGTTTCTCCTTGGTCCCGCATTTGCCCGGATTTTGATGAAAAACCTGGACTCCCCGTGCACATGTGCCCCGTGTTACTGTTCGGGCAGAAGGGCTCCTGCCGCTAAGTCTTCAGCTGCCTTCCTCCGCAGGCTGTAGTGGAGGCAGAGCCGACGTTTTCATGGAGATGCCGGTGTTCCGGTGAGGAAGTATTACCCGAATCAACAATTTTATCAGAAGGTACCACCTGCCTGGGCAACACCCAACTGGGGAGTTGTTTTTTAACAATCAGAATGACCTATTTCCAGCTTGTTTAAAGAGTTATTTAAATTCTCAGCATGAATTGAAAACCAGTTCTCCAGATTCTTGGTGTTTCTGCGGTGTTAGTTCCACAGGAGCAGCTTCCCAGCTCCCAGGGCAATCTGTTCTATCCCAAGGTCGCTGGGTGAAAAGGGCATTTTTCACAATTGCATGACACTGATCTTCATGATTCTGGTTCACGGACACAAACCCGCTGTGAGCTGCTGCGCCACGGCGATGTCAAACTCCGTGAGGAGCTCTGCTGCTAGGGGGGCAGCAGACACATTCCAAGTAATCCACAGGAACTGTGAGACAAGTCACGCCAGCCCCACTTTCACAAAACCCTCTGACTTCAGTGGGAGTTTTGCCAAAATAAGGCCTGTTGGATCTAGCTCTGTATTCTTCCTCCTGACGGAACAAGCAGGAATTAAAGGGCCAGCAGCAGATTTGTAAGACATGGAGAATAAAAAAAAACCAAAAAACCGTAATTAGCTAAAGTAATGACTTTTATCCAACACAAATCAACGTGCTGTTAGACACAGTCTAGTTTAGAACAGAAATTAGATGTTTGTGGAAGCTTTTCTCAGCACAAACCATCCAGATACACAGGTGGTTAGCGACAGGGTTTGGCTGTTCCCAGATGCCAGGAGAGGCTGCCTTGCACATGTCTAGCGCGGGCCTCGTGCAGGGCTGGTCACTGGAATTGGCTTGCACGTTACCTTGTATTTAAAGGCATTGTCTGTACTGAGTATTTAAAAATATATACTATTTTTACCTTTTTATTGCATTTCCATTCCTCACAGCTTTGGGAAGAAAAGGTACGGTTTGGAAATCGGGAGACACACAGCCAGCATCTGCTGGATGCCAGGAAGCAGAGTCCTTGTGCTGCAAATGGCTCTGCTCAAGCCAACCACTGTTACCTCGCTCTCAGCTCAGTCTGTCGTTGCAAAACAACGTGTCACTTCTAAGCTTCTGGATTTTATTGCAACTGCTGAAGTTTTAAAGCCACTCATTTATTCAATAAGCACTTAATTAGGTCTACTCTTGAAACAGAATAAAGCCAAATCCTGCACATTTTGCTAATGCCAGAAAAAATGCAGTTGATAGGAG